CAGACGTGTTAGTAGTACAAGACGTCTCAATAGCATGAAAGCCCTATTAGCCAAACGGAGAGCATTGGTGTCTTGGGCTCTCATTTGCCAGGCACAGACTCAGGATAGACAGGGCTGCTCGCCACAGGTGTCCTCTTGTTCCTAGCTGCCTTACTTGGCACAAAGCCATCTCATCTGGCCACTCACACGCACACTCAGGGGCTCATCACTATGTCATTTCCATGGTCACTGAGACCCAGGGCACGGGACACTCTACAACGGCTGGAAAAACACAGAGTATGTATTGAAACTCTGTCTCACTTTTATAAAGGTATACAGATTCCTGAAAGTAACCTCTCCTGCTTTGGAAACTAGTCCAAAGCCCGAGAAGAAGGCTGTAAAAGTGGTTTCTCTCTTTATAACGAAGAAGTACGCACTCCCTAGCGAGAATTTTGCATCCAATGGGCAATGCCTTAAGGGGTGATTGACACATAGGAGGTTAATTTGTTTGTCTGCTGTTTTTCTTTTCTGCCAGCAAATGCGTTTGGTTTTAAGACATGCCAAATCTCACCTGGATCAAAACAGCAAAGCCACTGGGGATAGAAACGTCATGGCTGCACGCGGTCCTGGGGCACAACAAGGAAGGAAGATGGGCAATCCACCCTCAGTTCTGCTGTGGCTCCCGCCAGAGAGCAGGGGGGAGATGGAGATCTCAGGAGGGTCCCTCTGGCTAATGAGTCTACATGAGCAGTTCCCAAAGTCGGTCCCCCCTGAGGTTAGGGATGTCAACAGATGTTACGTAAGAAAAGGGAGCCATGGTCAGACAGGCTTGAGAAATGCCCGGTTCCCTGAAGTTAAAATGGGTTACTTTATCAAGAACTTTGTGAATCTCCAAAAGACTGGCATGGTAGACACACAAAATTATCCAAGTTCATTTGGCTGTGAGCTCTTTTGTTTAATTTTTTATGAAGCATCTAGAGGGAACAAGGTTTCCTGAAACATACTTTGGAAAACCATCACCTGAATTTTCCCAGTTCCCTGATCCATGTTCTTAAACCTGGCCGGCAGAGACAGCCATGATCACTGCTGTCTGTGGAGCTAAAGACAATCAAGGCAGACCAGTTTCTCTGAATAGCCAAGGGGCAAGCGTTTTGAAAGATGTTCCTCATGATGCAAGAACAAAAATATGAGCAACGTGTGTTAAATTCTATAAATGGGCGGACTGAAATATTGACGGCTAAACAGCTTCAGTCTCAAAGGGTTTTCAGGAAATGCCCCTGTGCACACAGGCCGTCCTGTGTGCTCTGCGTGTGGGAGTCTCCTTTTCCACCCAGCTCTTCTCAGGCGTAGCTGAGACCTCAGCCCCTGCCCCCAACAAAGCAGCCTCAGGCTGGAGGTGGCTCCCGCTTCAGCAGAGGGGCAGCCCAGGGTCCCTCTGAGGCCCGCCCCACATGCCAGCCAGGCCCCGCGCCCCCCAGCCTGGGCGTGTGGTCCAGGCACCATGTGTTTCCCAGGTTCAAGTCCTCTTAAAACCATGCGCCGTCCAGACGCAGGGAGCAGGTTAAGGACACTACACTGTGTTTTCAATTTTAGAAAAAAAGAACATTTAGAGAGACCTTTAATTTTCATTGGTTATGAGGATCTGAGGAGTGGCAGGAAAAACATGTGACGAAAATATCATTGGAACATCCTTTTCTGAACCCTGGGAGCCTTTCACTTCTGGAAGGCCCGCATGGGAACTTGGTTCATTCACCCGAACGGCTGCCTCTGTGTCTCTTCAGCCCCTGGGACTCACGGGCGGCTGGTAATGAAGGAGGGAATCCAAACGTTCAGGTCCCATATGGGCAGCCGATGATAAGAACATGAAACGTTTTCGAACCCCTTTCTAGAACCCGGATTGCTCCCGCAGTGGTGTTTGCCTGCTGTGTGTATTTCCGCGAAGCCACCTTGCAGGGTCCTGATGAGGTCAGAGTGCTGAAACTGTTCCGAGGCTCTTTCATCCTTCCAAAGCAGGGAAGGCGGCCAGCTCGGGGGCCTGGACCACCAGACCCCTGAAGACCCTCCCCTTCTGGGAGGGCTGTGACAAAACATGCAACTTCTGTGAGTCTTTTAGCTATGCATGTGCAAGGAAGAAAGGGACAATACTAAATATATATATTACTTTGGGGTTTCTCATCATTTGGTGTCCAAATTTATATCTTATTACAATAAAAATAATCAGAGTAAGGTCAGAGAGACACGCGTGGGTCAAATTTTTGCAGATCCTAAGACAGAAGTGAATCTCTACAAAGTATTAAAAAAATCAGTGGATATTTGGTTTTAGAGACTTGGTTATTTATCTAGAATTTATGCGTCACTTATCACATGCCAGGCTCTACTGGGTGGAAAGGAAAAGAATTAAACAAAGACTGGCTCCAGAGCTTCCAGTCTAAGAAGGGAGAAGGATGTAAGTATGAAATCACAGTGCGTTAAGGAGGGGTATGTGGAAAATGCCGTGAGAGGACAGATGGAGTAAGAAACTCGGCATTGAGTGATGGGTAAGCCTCCTAAAAATGTGAACATTCAGATGTGGCATGAAGAGTCCCTAGCATTCCATCAGGCTGAGGGATGGTAGGCCTGCCTCTTTTGGGCCCCCCAGAAGTGAGCTCTGGGACAAGGACGTGCAAGGAGGTTAGAGGGGCGTGCAGGGAGCACAGGTTGGGGGATGGGAAATGTCGAAGAAGAGGAAAGGCAGCTGGAGGATTCCTGCTGTAAAGCCAGCTACCCCAGGGGGCAACTGGAGTGAATTCTGCAGGGAGACTGGAAATGCTGAAGACACACCTCGGAACCAGGGAGCTGGGTGCTCGTCTCGTCCTGGGCTGCGGGCTCCGGGAGAGCATGGTGGAGGCTGGGCTACCATGGGAGGACGGAAGGGCCTTCACCTGGGCTTTGGAGAATCCCTGCTCTTCCGTGTTTATGTTAAACCCAAATGGTTATGATGTCCAATAAGCAGTTCGGATTATGAAATACTCATAAAGATCCAGCATTTCGCTGGAGATTAAATTTAGAAATACCCCATGGCAGCTGGGGTCTCAAAGTTGCAGAGCCCTAAAATGAGACAAGAAGAAGTAAGCCAAGGGCATTCCTCTTGCCATCTCTATCGTCAAGCATAATTCTCCATAACAGCCCTGTGCCTGAATGTAGTCACAGGCCTGGTAACTAGAGAAAAATAGTGACCCTGAGGATTATGCCATCAGCATGACTCTCTATGATGGAAATGTCCATCGTGTTGCCTGGGAGTGAAGCGATCCTCACTTCAGGAGACTGGGAGGTGGTGCCTTTCAGTTTGTTTTCTGAGAGATCCATGTTATGTTGCTAGTCAACAGCTCTGCTTTGACAACTTTCCTTTCCTATAAATGCAGATCCCAGTGAGAGTGTCCAGTGTTTCCTGACTCAAGTCCAGAAGGAGCAGGTGTGCTCACCGGGTGAGTCATGCCATCAGCAGCCAGGGCTGGGCCACAGCTGCAGAGGCGCTGAACGGAATAACAGCAAGCTAGGAGAAGGACCAGGCCTCTGGGCTCACAGCTACTTGGAATTTGGGGATTCTGATAAGTTTGGCTCCTGTTTTTCATTACTGCTAAAAGCAATGGCACCATGTGGGGTTCCAAGGAAAGTTTCTGCTTTAATAGATGAGTCTATTTTTTATCCATTCATCCATCAATGGGTATTCATGTTGTTTCCATGTCTTGGCCATGGGTAAAAAAAGAGCGAGGGAGAAATAGGGAATGTTATTCAGCCTTAAAAAAGAAAGAAATCCTGAGTCAGGCCTGATGGTCTAGTGGTTACAGTTCAGCTTTCTCGCTGCTTCAGCAGCCAGAGTTTCTTTCCTGGGTGTGGAACCACACCACTTGTCTGTCAGTTGCCATGCTGTGGTGGTGGCTCACGTGGAAAAACTAGAAGGACTTACAACTATGTGCTGGGGCTTTGGGGAGAAGAAAAATAAAAAGAAGGATTGGCAACAGATGTTCGTGCAGAGTGAATCCTTCCTTGCAAAAAAAAAAAAAAAGAAACAACATAGATGAACCTGGGAACGTTATGCCAAGTGAAATAAGCCAGTCACAGAAGGCAAATATTGCATGATTCCACTTCTACGAGGAATCTAAAATAGTCAAATTCATAGAAACAGAGAGTGGAATAGTGGTTGCCAGGGGCTGGGGGACAGGGAATGGGGAGTGGCTGATCAATGGGTCTAAAGTGTCAGCTACGCGGGGGGATGAGATCCACTGCACAACACTGTGCATGTGCTTAACGACACTGTATTGTGGGCTTAAAAATCTGGTAAGCTGGTAGATCTTCTGTTAATTGATTTTACCATAAGATAAAAAATAGATGAATATTTGATCAAACTCAAGGCCTTTCTTACTTCCTTTTTTATTCACATTGTATTAACACCTGAGCTCTGATAAGCAGCTGCTGCCAGTTTCCCAAGTCGGAAAACCTCCTTGACCAAAAGCACCTCCAAGGAAGCTCCTACATAAAGGAGGAACGTATCGATGTGACTGTATGGAGGATACCGCTTCACTGTAAATAAATGCATTCACAACTAAGTCAGTCATCAAAATGATGAGAACACCTATAACTGTACATATTTCATTCGAAGGTCCCTGTCTTAAAACAGTGATGTGAGAGAGTCTTAAAATACCTTTAGGGAGAAGAGTAGCTTCTGGGGCTGAGGTCCACATGTTCAACAGCCTTATCGACCGCCAAGTAATGTGCAGACACAAAGTTTAGACAATTATGGCAGAGGCGCTACACTGGCAGGCCTGGAAATGGGAAGAGGAACTTGGAGTCCTTCCTCAAATTATTTATTTATTTTTATGTGTTTATTTTTTTTTTGAGGAAGATCAGCCCTGAGCTAACATCTGCCGACAATCCCCCTCTTTTTGCTGAGGAAGACTGGCCCTGAGCCAACATCTGTGCCCATCTGCCTCTGCTTTATATGTGGGATGCCTACCACAGCATGGCTTTTGTCCACACCCGGGATCCGAACTGGTAAACCCTGGGCCACCGAAGCGGAATGTGCGCACTTTACCGCTGTGCCACCGTGCTGGCCCGACTCAAATTATTTTTTTCATCTACAAGAACTTATTCATATAAGAGGAAAACAGGCTGAGCATTCTGATTTAGGACACTGTTTTAAAGTTATATTCTGCACTTGACATGGCCTTTTGATATCAGTGCACTCTGATTATAATGCTAAATAAAAACAAGGGAAATTTTTCCTAACTACCACTAGGATAATGGCAAAGCCAAATTAGAGGCAACGCCACAGCAAAGAGCTATGCTGGATGAAACGCTGAGTCATGCTTGTGGGAAGTACAAATGTGGTTTCACATTCCAAGAGACATATTCATCATCACTCTTCTGGATTCTCTCCTCGCTTGCCCCCTCGATAACTCCTCTTTCCCTGCCCCTCGACTCTGCCTTTCCACGGGGTCCCTGACAGGCACTTGGCAGGGGAGGCTGCTGGGCTGACAGTCCTATGCCGCAGCTGCCCTGGCCACGAAGCGAAGGATGCTGCCGGGCTGCGTCAGGGCCCGCCCAGTGCAAGTCACTCTCTGAAACAGCAGAGCTGATATCATCCTTCCAGGAACCCTGCAAAAGAAGCCACCACAGATACGGTAAGATGACAGCAGCTTTCGGGGACTAAGATGACAGACAGTTTGTCCTGGCCGCATGCCCCTGTTATAAATCAGAAAGCAAACTTGTTCATCCAGATGAACCAGGATATAGAAGAGGAGGGTGAGTCACTCCATTTCATCCCAGCTCTTCTTACCATGCCTTTCACTCATTCTTTCTCCTACATATGCATTTCACCTTACAGAGAATTTCTGAGAATAAATGGACCTCAGTGAAGCTCCAAGAAAACAGTGTTAGATATTAATATTATTATTATTATTCTTAAATCATGTCTATAATAATGTCTCATTTGGGGTAATCAAGCTGTTTGTGAAGAGTTGCTAACTAAACAGCTATATGACTCTCTGTGGGAGATTGTATTCTTGCCCAGGAAATATTTGCTCCGCTTCCCACATCCCCAACCTGCCGGGGAAGATGCACGCCCTTGTACCATAAGCGAAGGGCTCAGTGACTTGCTCTGGCTTGCTGCAGCATATGTGGCTGTGGATTTGCCTGTCTGAGCAAAGACGTAAACACACTTGCTTGTTTGGCTCAGCCTGTGTGCTCCCACTGTCTGCGTGGGAACCCTCTGGTCCAGAGAGTGGCTCTTCCTCCAGCTGAGAAAGACATAAGAATCTGCCCTCTGCCCACCTGCCCCCTGCAGTAGGACTGCCAGGGCCAACCTGCAAACCCAGTGAGGAATAAAGACACACAGGCCGGTTTAAGTCACTGGAAAAGGGAGTTGCTTGTTGCCGCAGCAAAGCTGACTTGCCTATTTGCTCATTGACTTACAATATCATTTCAGAGTATACTTTTTATTTTACTGGTCTTCAGTCGTCAGTTATATCAGCTAGTTATTGCAACAGTAATGTTGCATAACAACCAACCTCAAAATTTCAGTAGCATACAATCATATGTATTGAGATCTTACACATCTGTGCACTGACTGGAGTAAACTAATATGGGCTGGGCTTAATTGGGGTGAAGTGGCTTGGGCAGACATCCTATTCCTGGACCAGCAGGTTATCCCAGGCACAGGAGCCCAACCGTGCAAGCACGCTGCAAGTCTCTGCCGTGTCGTGAATGCTAACATCCCAACTCACGTGACCAAGCCAACATCAGTGGACCAGGGAGGTATGCTCCTCCTTGGAGGCAAAGGGCAATGTCTGAATATTTCTGAAAATAATCTAACTTGCCCCACCAGTTAGTCCTAATATTTTACTGGGAGTGCTTGTTTTTTCTTTTGCGTTCTGCTTCCTCTTTCCATTTCCAGGTCAAAGGACTTATACTAAAAACACACACTTTATAACGTGCATACAGGCTGCCTTCAGAGGACTTCTGCCACTGACCACTTATACAATGTGGCTTCCTGTGACTTAATGAACTGCTCATTCTCTGCATTCTCTATTTAATATTGATCAAGCAGAGTGGAACATACTGAACAGCACATATAAAACTATGACCTAAATCTGTGCTGTTCAATATGGTGCCATTAGCCACATGTGGTTATTAAGCATTTGAAATGTGGCTATTATATTAATATAATTTTACATATAAAATGCAGCATTAAAATTAACTTTACCTGGTGATGTCAGGGAGAAATGACAAGTAAGGACCTCTGAAAGCCCTCACCTTCATAAAAGCAATGAGACCACTGGCAAGAATGGTCAAAATCAACTTTTTCAGAACTCTGGAAATTAACTAAAGGTCATTTCAAGAAAAAGGACCAAATCCTGTTAGAAATAAGTCTTGTAGCATTTTAATTTGCTTTATTCCATCTCTCCTCTCCCAAGCTCCACAGTGCCCTTAAAAACCACCAGCCTGTGATCAGGGGAAAAACAAGCAGCCTGCAGGCACTGGAGGGAGCAGAGTGGAGGTCTGTCTGGGGTTTCCTTTGAAGACTCACTCACAAGTCTTCTCTCCATTTTACTTGACTCAAAATTTGTCCCGTACCAGCAGGCTTTTCCTCACGAATGTTTGTCTAAAACATTCCGAGGCAATCATGGAGCATTGCAGCTGCCTAAGGCAGTGGAAAGCAATTGGACAAGCAAGTGGTTAACCAAAAAGCTTAAAAATAAAAACTGGAGAATGAGATGTCCATGGGAGGTTTAAGAAAGCTCTAAGATATTTCTAAGTATCTAGAAGGCCATGCATATGCATATACATAGGGTGGTGTGCAGCCTCAGGAAAGTCCTTAAGAACCCCTAAGCTATCACCTCTGGATGACCTTAAGGCTCTGTGCCAACAGAAAGAAAAGGTGAGGCAGAGCTGCCAGCTGCCTGGTTGAATGTTCAAAGCATTCCCCAATTTGCACACAGAGCCCCTTGGCAAAGACTGGGAGACATATTGCTTCCCGGTAGTTAAGGAGACTTCTGTCTAATCATTAGCTGATCACTATACTAATCGAGCAGAGACTTCAGTGACCAAAAAGATTTTACATTATTAACTCAAAATAATCACAAAACAAGCAACAACAAAGCAACAAACAGCACAACAACAAACCCTGGGAAGAGGACAGATTCTGATTTCCAGAGTTGCCAAATAATATTATCTAAAATGTCCAGTTTTCAACAAAAAGATTATGAGCCAGGAAAAGAAACAAGAAAGTATGGCTCATATAAGGGGGAAAAAGAAAGCTGTTGATAGAAATGGCCCACAAGGAAGCCTAGACATAGAACCTACTAGACAAAACCTTCGAATCATCTATTTCAAATGTACAGAAAGAACTAAAGGAAACTATGCTTAAAGAACCAAGGGAAAGTCTGAGAATGACATCTTAAGTAGTAGAGAACATTAATAAAGAGAAATTATGAAAAAGAGCCAAATGGAAATTCTGGAGTTGAAAAGTACAATCCTGAAATGGAGAGTTCACTAGAGGAGTTCAACAGCAGATTTAGGGAGCAGAAGAAAGAATTAGCAAACTTGAAGATACGTTAATTGAGCTTATTCATTCTGTAACAAAGAAAAAAGTGAAAAATGAACAGGGCCTTGGAGGTCTGTGGGATGCCCTCAAGTGTGCCAACATACACAGACTGGGAGTCAGAAGAAATAGCGAGAAAGAGGCAGAAGGAACCTTTGAAGAAATAATGGCTGAAAACTCCCCAAATTTGATAAACAACAATAATTTATACATCCAAGCGGCTCAATGAAATCTAAGTAGAACAAACTCAAAGAGATCCACACCTGGACACAACATAATCAAAGTAACAAAAGTCAAAGACAAAGAGGGAATCTTGAAAGAAGCTGGTCATCATGTACAAAGGACCCTCGATAACATCAATGGCTGATTTCTCATCTAAAACAGTGGAGGTCAGAAGGCAGTGAAAGGACATACTCAAAGGGCTGAAAAGAAAAGCTGTTAAGGAAGAATTCTATATTCAGCAAAACTGCCCTTCAAAATGAAGGAGAAATTAAGGCATGCTGAGATAAGAAACAACCTGAGTGAATTTTTCATGAACAGACCCTCTCTATAAGAGATACAGAAGGGAGCACGTCAGGCTGAAATGGAAGAACACTGGACAGTAAGTCAACTCCACACTAAGAAATAAACAGCACTGATAAAGGGAACTACATAGGTAAAAACAAAAGGTGGCGGGCCAGCCCTGTGGCTGAGTGGTTAAGTCCGCGTGCTCTGCTTCAGTGGCCCAGGGTTTCGCTGGTTCAGATCCTGGGTGTGGACATGGCACCACTCATCAAGCCACGCTGAGGCAGCATCCCACATGCACAACTAGAAGGACCCACAACTAAAAATATACAACTATGTACCAGGGGGCTTTGGGGAGAAAAAGAAAAGAAGAAGAAAAAGAAAAGATGGCATGAATGCACTTTTTGTTTGTAACTCCTTTTTCCCATTCTGACTTAAAAGAACACCACACAAAGGAATAATCGTAAGTCCAGGTTGATGGGCACACAATGTGTAAAGATCTAATCTGTCACAATAACAGAATAAAGGGAGGGACAGGAGGAATATATAGGCACAAAGTTTTTGTAGACTATGGAAATTAAGTTAGTATTAATACAAATTAGATTACAAATTAAGATGTTCCACAAAAAGGGGAGCAGAGAGCAAGGAGTGCTGGACAAATGTTCTGGTTTCAAGGTCCTGTGGTAGAATCACAAGTACATTTGTTTTTTATTGTCAACCTAACAAATTACCATAAACTAAGTGGCTTAGAACTGCACACATTTATTATCCTACGGTTCTGGAAGACAGAGACCAAAATCAGTCCCAGTGGCTGAAATCTAGGTGTTGGCAGGGCCACATTCCTCCTGGAGGCTCTGAGCAGCAATCCATTTCCTTCGTTTACCTGTTTCTAGAGGCTGCCTCTGTCCTCGGCTCATGGACCTTCCCACGCGGACCCCTGCTTCTGTCGTCACGTCTCCTTCTCTGACTCTGACCCTCCTGCCTCCCTCTTATGAGGATCCTTGTGATGACATCAAGTCTACTGGGTAAGCCAGGATCATCGCCTCATCTCAGACTCCTTAACTTCATCACATCTGCAAAGTCCCTTTCACCGTGGAAGGTGACATATTCATAGGTTTCAGGGGTTGGGAGATGGGCGTCTTTGGGAGCCACTCTGTACCCAGGCACAGCAGGCATGAGTGATTTTGAGATCTTGCTGCAGGCTGTCACAGTGCAACCAGGGCTGAGGCCTGCCCAGGGAGGGCGCAGGGCACTCACAACCAGCAGGGCATTCAAGTCACTTGGGGCCTCTCTCTCTCTCTCTTTTTTTTTTTTGGTGAGGAAGATTGGCCCTGAGCTAACATCTGTGACAACCTTCCTCTATTTTGTACATGAGACACTGCCACAGCATGTTTTGGTGAGTGATGTGTAGGTCTGTGCCCAGGATCTGAACCCGTGAACCCTGGGCTGCTGAAGAGGAGCATGCAAACTTAGCCACTATGCCACTAGGCCAACCCTGGCATCCATCTTTTTGAGACAACGTCTCAAGTAATTCTGTTGTGCATGGAAATGTGCCCCACTGCCTGGAGGGCAACCCTG